CAAGTCGGACTTTCGGAACTATTGCCACAGGCTCACAGCCCAACCTTCAGTGACCCTGAGCTCGTTCTCCTTGTCAGTGGCCGTGACGGGATCAATGCTGGACGCATCCTTCCAAATCACCTGGCATGCCAACATCTACGCTCCTTCCATTGGAAGTGACAGGGATGTTTTGGCCCAAAAGGGGCGTAGTCTCGCGAAAGCAGATGGCACGATTCCCAATATGTTGGTAAGTAAATGGGTGTTGAAACCCGAATGGGTCTACTTGCACCCAACTGCCCATGCAAATAGATGGCTCTTGCAAGCTCACCAATCAGTCCTACGTTTTGCCTGGAAGTTGGGCTATTGTTTGAAGCGAAGGCTGCGTGAAGAGAATCAGGAGGGTACCAGCACGGGTAAATCAAACTCAACCAATAACATTAATTTATGTTCAACCAAGATTCTGAAACGAACACTTGTTGACAGGAATTTCAGATTGCGACAACACCACGTCGTTACACTTGAATTGACGCTCTTCATGGAGAGTTCGCAAGGTCAAACCGATCTGTCTCATTGGAGGCTACTCGTTGTTTTTTGTGTTCAACGGAAACCAAAGGGAAACCGCTATTGTGTGGGTCCAAATTCTGAAAAGGACACACCCAACCAGGCTTGAACCATTGTGGATGTTCTCTTTGGGGCGACCAATTTTGTGCGAGGAAACCTCAGCGGTCTCGGGATGGCCCCATACCGCGGTATTTTGGCTAAAGGGTACCTTGAAAGAAGCCAACACGGAAAACCGTGTGTTTCAAGACACGGCTATGTGTTCGTCCATGTTCGTCCCCCTGGAAAACTCCTTGTTGTTTCATCCAACGTTGGTGGCCTTTTTCAGGCATGGACTTCCTTCCCTCCTCTTCAAGGGGATTCATGCATGTGATTCAGACACAGGTCCTTCTATGTGTTTCAGCTTGTAGTGGCTTAACGCATCCTCTGCTGGGCCAATTTACTGAGAAGCCCTTTTCAAAAAGCAGGCCTGATTCTTCAGACATGCAGAACTGGAAGAGACATCCTTTCACCTTCTGCCTGGCTTCTTTGGGGTACCCAAAAAGGGTTGCAAGGGGGAGGTCTTCCATGAGTTTGGAGGAGTTCTCTGGGAAGCTCGCAAGTACTGGGCCCCTGAAAGTAACATCTTGATCGGGATCATTTTTTTGTGTGGTTTCCCTTGAATGCACCAATTTGCGATGTCACCAAATGGATGCCACTCCGATGGATGTTAATCTAGTTGATGTGGCTAACCCCCCGCATTTTGCGGATGTCACTCGACTGGATCTCCACAAAAGCTGAGTGCCCGGCCTTCTTCTGCAGGCATTCGCGCATGGCGCGGCCGCAGTCTAAGGCAAGCTTCGCAGCCACCTGTGGTCGACTGAAAGCGTGGCTTCCAAAACGGTGGACCCCACAAAACTTGCTGGTCCTCAGTAGGGAATCTGGGAATGAACCCAGGGATTCCCTGAAAAGAAACTAGAAGGGATGGTTTATAAGGGTCATTCCCTCATTCCCTGCTGAGCGCCAGCAAAGAAAAAGGCGGTTCGCTTTGGATCTCTTTGGCTTCCCTTTTAACAAACCCCTCAACAAAATGGCACACCCGAATGACACCTGAAAGCTCCATTTGGGGCTGTAGGACTGAAGCCATATGGTGGGTTTGCATTCAATCCGGATCCCTTCTTGGTTCCGGCAGCACATGGTTCACTTCAAGCTCAGCCCTGCTCAAAAAGAATTGCTTGGAGCAGAAGCGCGTGGGAGCTTGTGTGTATGTGCTGTTTTGGTCGGCTCGCGGAGGCATGTCCGGCCTAGCCAATCAAATCCGCAAGTACTTTGCATGTAGCACTTTGGCCACACGTTTCCTTCATCGTCATTCCCATACTACCGTGCTGCATCTCTGATTTTGCTGACGTCCTTTGCCGCACTCGTCTCTCTGGAGCCTGGCTCGCCACAGAACACGCTGATGTCTGTCGCCCCGTTCATCATCGCATTGGTTCCCGCGGCCACTGCAACAGCGCCTTGGGCGCAAACTCCGTCCAGTTTCGGCTCACAGGAAGTCACTGCCATGGAGAGGTAATATGCACCAACAGCCAGATGGGCAAGGGCTTGCGAGACGTGCTGAAGGCATAGCTTCTTCTCGAGCTGAGTTTTGGACTTCGGGCAACTTCCTGAAGCTGCGCGGAAGAAGAACATGGCACGGCCCATCCAACGGGGGACTTCTTCAGCCCCAACAATACACTCACCGAGGTTCGTCCAGGATTCGGGGGACCTTCCGACAAAGTGAGGATCCGTATTGCAGCCAGTGACGAGTGCAGATGGAGCTGCTGCCCATGCGCCCAAAGCGGCCGTCATGTCAAAGATACTGTAAGCGCAGTCTTCCTTGGTATCCCCTTCTGGCTTGCAAGTCGCCACAGAAGCAGCAAGTTTGAGACCAAAGGCAGACATCGTCACAATGAGCTTGCTCAAGCTTGCTGTACAAGCACGTCGCCCAGCTACAGTGCCAGCGGCTCCGGCTTCACAGGTATACAGTACATTTCTGACCTCGAAAGCCAACTCTGGCAGATTGTAGGCCGAGAGCATGGCGGAAAAAACACAGCAAGCAACTGCCCAATGCCGATCTGTGGACGCGTGGTGATCTTCGATGATAGCCTGGATGTCTCTTCGCTTCTGCTGCATTGACAGGCGTGCGTCATGAACGGATTTTATTTCGGACACTTTGTGAGAGGGCTCCTGAGACGCAGACAGGTCGCCCAACGTGTAATTGTGGATGATTCCCAGCTGTGATATCTTATTCGGAAGCTTCTGCAGCAAAGGCATAGCAGGCATAGCAGACAACTTCTGGATTAGCTCTCGCGTTGGAGGAGTTCTGTGCAAAGCCTTGATGGCTGTTGCGTCCCACCGCGATGCAGTTGCCAGTTGCGTCAGGGTTGCGATGCTTGGCAAACTCGCTGCTTGACTCCTCTCGTTGCTCGTTCGCAGGTAGACGACGCCGATGAGCATCACAATCCCTACAGCACCAGCCATGAGAGATCGTCTCCAACCATGATCCTGGCTTTTCCCTGATCGTGCCATTTCCGGATCAGGTTGTACCAACGCATCGTCCTCACTCATTGCTCGTCCGGCACTCCACATTCTCGAAGGAACGCAGCTTCAGGCTGGGAACCATGTTACACTCCGAGGCTATTGCTATGTAAACTTGCATTGATCAGCATCAAACTCTTGGTGTCATCTGGTATGAGTATCTAGTTCCATAGCTGTGGAATGATTCTTTGAGCACTCCCTGTACTGTTGCATGACAGACAACCATTCGCTGTTAGCACCACTTGTGAAAACATAGTAGCAGGTCTCCTTTTGCCCAACTGGTCTAGCTTGCACAGAAATCAAGCGAATACTTGTTCGGCAATCAAGCCCTCTTGGTGGCCTTCGCCCTTGGCAGCATTCCCCCCTTGGTGGCTTTGGAAAGGTTCGACTTGAAAACAAAAACATTTGAGTGCCAGGAGTATTGCCACTCGCACATGCATGCAAAGCGTCCTCGCTTTGCGGAATCAACAACTCACTTCCGGAGTGGATGGTCCAAACAAAATCCAAACTTATATACTTAATTACTTACCACTAAAATGGTCTTCCCAAAAACAGTTGAAGTCCAGGAACCCAGGAAGTGAGACAAAAACAACGCGCCCCACCTGTACCTCTTTGGAATAGCGGCCGCAAAGCTTGCCACGTGCCTGGCAGCAAGGCTCAAGGATATCCGACCATAAGACAAAGCGAGTGGAGAGCAGTGTGCGATCTTAGCCCCCGGAGTTGACAGATCCCTGTCGAGAAAGGCTCCTGAGCCGGACCTTGCCTTGAAGATCCAACACAAACATGAGCGTGTCATGTGGAGATATTCGCATTACCTTACGTGCAAACAAGCGCAATCCCCTGAGCTAGATTGCATGTACATCTATGCTGAAATGCATACACTCACACATGTATATGCAAAGTGGACAAAAAGCCATGTGCTTATTATTGTGTACATGGATAGATACATTTTGTACATACATGTTGACATACAGCCGCCTCAGCTCGTCTTCTTCGGTAGACAAGTGCCAGTGTGGCTGCACCAGCCAGCGCGAGGCCCGCCGGCTTCAGCCATCGCTGCATCTTGCGAAGTGGTGACGCTGCCACGTTTGTCTCTTGTGTCACTCGCTGAAGCCCGAGATCCCAACCAACCGTTTAAAGACTAACTAAAGCAATCCTAAATCCATGTCCATTATACCCTGTTACCCTCGCAGAACATGAGATCCATACATAAAAGGCGGTGGCAGAATGGCGCAAGGAATCGTGCAATGATCGTATATGCACCACCCCAAGACCAGCGGGTTGACTGCGGTCAACGCGAAGTGAGTATTTCCTGTTGGACATCGAGCCAAACGGCAGAAGAGGATCCTCCGCATCAGCTGATATGAGCAAACACATGACAGACTACTGGCATACGACTCACTGCTCTGGGCAAGGTAAGGGCTTGTCATAGGGACATGACACACAGTAGGCCCGGGCAGAGTCCAAGTGCAAGTGGGGAGGTCTCCAAGAAATTAAGCCCCACCCAGAACTGTTGATGGAGGAAATAGAGGGGTCGGTTTAGACCACATCATCAAGCCATCCTTGGGTCGACTCCAAGTTGCCAATTCAATGGAAAAAAGAGTCAGTTTGAAGCATCATTACCAACAGTGGGCCAGCTGCCCGGAGTAAATGCCTTCCAGTGCAATTGGCGGAGTTGGGAAAACCAAACCAACCCCATTGAAGCAGTGAAGCAATATATACGACCATCCTGCCTTCAGTATGCATTTCATGAGAAAAACCAGCAATGCCCTTAAGAAGAGTTTCCATTTTCCTTGGGTGGACCCTTCCCTTTTCCTCCCAAAAAAGGGTTCAACAGGTTAACCTGGATTGAAATCAGGCGACGCTTCAAGCCTTGGTCTGCAAGGCCATCGCTTGGGACCCCCGGCCCCACTTGGCCATAGATGATGCCACCACTTCTCTCAGCTCGTTTGCGCTGTCCGCCGCCACCTGCAGCTCTCTGTGGGTCGGTCTCAGGTTTCGGGTGCGCAGGGGCTTGGATGGGTTCAGAGACCCGAGTTGCCTCAGAGGGTCCCAAAGCTTGAGAAATGCGATGGATGTGGCTCTATGGGATGTGGAGCTCCAAAAAAGGAGATTCGGTTTCCAAACAGGGTTCAGAAGGGGTGCCAAATGGAACAAATTGGGACAACGCAAAAGGGCAGCTCTCGGAATGGATCACTGATCAAGACGTTAAGACGTTGTGTTTCACCTCCACGTTTCTAGTGTTCGGCTTCCCAAAGTGAGCACACGGTGCTTGCCAGAACAGCATGACACGATATGACATGACTTCTTCAGAATTTCTCGCATATGAATGACGGACAATCCTACTTTCTACTTGTAAATGAAACAACCAGGGGACCGCATATTTTAGGTCATGCTGCCATTTACCAGGGTTGCATTTTGGGTGCCTATTTTTGACCCGCAGCCATTTGTGTAGACCTGTGTAGACCTGTCGAACCCCTTCCCAGCAGCGTCTGCACAAATCGAGGGGGTCCTGCTGCGTTCGAAAGGCTGTGGGATCCAAAGACAAACCCCACCTTCAGGTTCACGAAGACATCGCCTCGGGCGACGCCCGCGTTCCTGATGCCTGCAATAGAAAACACAAGAAGCGCAGGGTTGGCTGGGCAAAAAGAATTGAAGCACCAGCCACTGGCTCCCTTTAAAGGAAAACCAAAACCAGGCTGTTCAAACAACGTTGGCTCAATTTCACAGATCATTTACCGAGCTCCTGTATACAAACACACAACGCGCAAATTGTCCCTCAAGAAACTCAGCGGTGTCCATTTCATGTTGGCGTCCTCTAGGAAAGTGAGCTAAAGGAGGTTGCTGTTTGCGGTTGGGAATGGAGCACACATGAGTGTGGTCAACTACGTTTGGAGCAAACCCTGAGAATGAGCAGGGCCCCTCTGAAACCCAAGCTGCCCAGTTGGTCGGCATGCGTGGGGCCAAAAGAACGGTTGCTTCTTGGGCCGTCCTTCGAGTCCTGCCAGTTTTGCGGTTTGTCAAATTTGGCAAACCCCCTGACATGCTAAATGTGGGACCCTCCAAAATGTGTGCGTGTTTCCCAGCTTCCCTTCTGAACAACCCAAAAAAGGCAGCCTCAAAATGACACCCAACAGGAACCCTTCAAACGGCGGAGGGTGCGCTGCCATTGCGCCACGGGCCCTGACCACCATGTCAGCTTGACGCCTTGCCACCAGGAAACAAACATTGTTGGGCGCATATTTTGAGAGTTCGTGATCACACCCCGGCGGGCTGTTCTTGCCGAAACGGCCGGCCTCGCGCCACCGCGGCCTCGGTGCCATACTCGGCGGCCGTGTCCACATGGCGCACGCCTGACACGAAACACGGCCCTGCGACTTGCCTGACCGCCAGGTTTGGCGGAATTCTTGAAACAAGAGCCGAAAAGCAAGCCTTGGCATCCAATCTCGGGGTTTGGTGAAGCAGTTCGTGTCACCATTCAACATGTGCTGACCCCGAGGAGATCATGCACATCACAAATGTTTGCTCAAGCTTTCATGGCAAATAAGTGCGCGAGTAATGGTTAATGCAAACACATGCAAACAAAGCTTTCAGACAAAAACCATTCGAATGCCAAACACTGTCCGGAGCACCTTTTTTTCTGTATCAAAGGGTCCCCGAAATACATCTGATAAGCCATATGAGTGCCTCGATGACGGTACACCCAGCTCCCAGCAGCTGCTCTGGCCTTCGCGTAGAGCTGCCATCACGCTCTCCTCTGCTTGCTCCGGAGACAGCTTCCAAGTCCCTGACAGGAGGAGCTGAGGCCATTGTCAGACAAGAAAAACCACAGCCCAGCGGTCCCGCTTGGGGGGGCTGTTGGGTCGACATGATTTATAATAATAAGAACAGCAATAGCAGCAATATTGGCAATCGTAAGAATAGTGGTCACAGTCATAGTCATAGCCATGGTCATACTCATAGTCCTGGTAGTAGTCCTACCAGTAGTAGGAAAGGCAACAGCAATTGTCATTGTGATAGCAATAATACTCACTGCTTGAGTGGATTGGCCAGCAAAAGTGCAAACTTCTTATGTGCCACTAAAATTGTGTCCCAAAAAGTTGAAAGTCTATGAACTCTGGCCGGAGTGAGACAAATTGTAGCAATTTATAGTAGTAGTCATGATAGTGAAGATAATACTTTAGAAAACGTATCCTACAAACAAGATAAACATTGCACAAGGACCACCGCAACAAGCGAAACCAGGGGGCACTGAACAGCCGGGAATTCCCGTTTCCCAGCCGCTAGAGGACACATCCGTAAGGCAAGCAGCAAGCAAGAGGACGAGCAGCGACTGGCAACCCACTGGTTGACCTGGAAGGTGTCGCATTAGCATCCGGATCACTCTATTAGCCCAGGTTTTCTACCGCGCTCTAGGGTTGACGACATTGGGTTTGTAGCTCTTCAAGGTGGCCAATCACGGAAATGAGGGGATGACGGGGTGAGCCATCCTGGCAAAGCAAAGTGGAAGGCTTGCGCCGCAAACTGAGAAAGCAAATCACATTTGGGTGCCACTGTGGAGTGACAATGTTGGACCCTCTGGCGGAATAGGCATCTTGACTCTTTCAATGTATGCTAAGCCTGGCCTGCTAAAGCCGTGAGGAAAGGTGGCCACTCCTGGAACACGGTAGCAAACGCCTTGGACAAGTCAGGGTTTACTATCCTCAACAAGAGTCGCGATTTGGGACCGGTGTCCTTGCATTCCAGGCAGAAATCCAGGCTACTTCCGGAGAAATCCAATCTACTTCCGGCAAAACCCAAGCTATTTCCCACCCAGAGGTATGATGTTCTTTGTGTTCTTTGTGTTCTTTGCCCTGTGGGCTTCCTGGCTTCCTGGGCTTCCTGGGGGCATGGCCCTGCCTATACCGGGACCCAGCAGCGTCCCATCGCGCAGCGCCCAGCGGCTGCCAGCTAAGCCAGCACTCACCTGACGAAGATCGATCTCCTGCCCCTGTGTGTTTCGGGCTGGTCCCCATCAAAACAACAAATTTAATTACTCTCACGTCATCCCCCCAGGGGTTGCCCTGAAGACAATCGGTCTAGCGTTTTGGGGGGTTGAATTGGAAACCGGCCTTCAGTTGTGCTCTTTTCTGTCAGCTGTCACCTACAGGTGGAAAAACAACGGCGTGTGTTTTAGGTGCGGACAAAAAGTTGAAAGGCGGCACAGCGTCGCTCTGGGGTTTTGACTGCATGCGAGTTCACTATACCACACATGGCACACTTTCGGGGTCCTCCAGTTCCATTTGTGTGAGTTGTTTTCCCTTGAAAAAGATAACAATGCGCAATACATTCAATTCCAAAGCTCAAAATGCACCCCCCCTCCTCAATTCCAGTGCCTGTGGGGTGAGCGTTCGGATGCTTTGGATCCTTCCCACCGGTTTTGACACCACCCTTCGAGGGCACCTGGGTTGTCTCAGCCACACCCAGCAGCGGCTGCTCCGGGACCTGGCGGCGAAGTCTGCAGGCCGTGTGAAAACATCCGAGTAGCACACTTCTCAGGGGTGGTTCCTCCGTGGTTCCTCCAGTAGGGAATGACGCCTTTCTCAGATGGTTGCGCGAAGCTCATTTGAGTCCCCATCAAAATATGGGATGGGAGGCGAAGACCCGTGGCAAAGCCACCTATTCGTTCACAATGGAGGAGTCCACAGAATGACACGATAAACAATTTGACAGGCACCAAACCCCAAGCTCAAGTCATCTGGCAACATCTGGCAATGAACATGGTAACATACTGTTGTTTGAAACGGGCATGCAGTGCTGGTGCATTGGAGCACAGTTGCGTAAATCTTACCCTGTGTTGTTAAAGCTCGGTTTCTGTTGGCTTGCATCAGATTCGAAGCCCTGCCCTTTACAGAGTATCAGGCCGCGCCGGGTCTCTTGATTTTTGGTCAGGAGAAAAAGGCAGCTGAGGAGTGTGATCCCCTGAAATACAGCTGACCCTTTTGCTGAGTGAAATCAGAAAACGGTGAGCCACGTCAACCAACAATTGTCATGAATAGGCTAGGCCATTCCTGGTTCCCGTGACCAGCATCAGCCTGATATCATGATCCAAAGACTCCTGTGCATGAACACCCTGAATTCCTACTCGCAACATTGAGGGAATCGCCTAAAGTGCACAGGCATTGCACAGGCGGATCACTCTTTTACTTTTACTCCTATACTTTGAATCATCTCTCCCCCTCTCTCTCTCTCTCTCTTTGCCGTTCTCTCTTTGCCTCCAAGCGGACATCACATACTGCGCCCGCTACTCCTGAGCTGCTCAAGCCGAGAGACTCCAAGGCAAACGTTTGCACAAAAGGAACAATTTGCTAACAAACAGATTGCGAGGTTCAAGAAATCGTGTCAGTGGGGGGTCAAAGGGAGCTTGGGGCGCTTTCATACGGACACATGTTTGATTCCCTTTGACCCCGCACGAAGGATCTAACTGGTGTCAATTCAATTCGCAGCTGCAAACTTTTATGGAACCCTGGGCCTCTATAATATGGGGGCCCTGCTTTCCAAAGGCGTTCTCCGACGCAGTGCGAAGAACAGCTGCAGAAGTCCATCCAGGGGGTTCTGGGCCAGTTTGTCATACCAAGCACCACGTGTTCTCACTTGTACCGAGTCATTTGGTTCACCCCGCTCCTCTGTTGACAATGAAAAGTGTCGGGGCTGCATGGCTGGGAAGTTCCGAGCAAAACGCAACAGCCCCTCTGCCTGTGTTAGAGTCCGGAATGATTCATCCTAGCTGCCATGGATTGCAGCGCGTTTTTGTTTCGCCTGACTCTGGCCTTAAAAGCCTGGTTTAGGGAGAGGCTCCATTTCCGCATTGACTCTTTTGCAAAGGTAGCGCTTGTGCCAATTCACCAAATTGGCACCACTGCTGTAGTCGAACACATCCTCAGATATATTTCTGATTTCAAGGGGTCCACGTGCAATCTGTGCCAACTTCAGGCGCAAGGCCGCGAGGACCGCGCCCGCTTTGCATCCAGGCCGCGGTTGAGGGTTTCCAGCACGAAGCCGATGGCCTTGACCCGGCCCAATCTCGGCCAAGGTCTCTTCTTTGCCCGAGGGACACGCGAACAAGGCATCCAATACCAGGGGCCAGAACATGACAAAATGATCTTTTCATCATCTTGATTTGGTTTTACCTATTCCATAACCTGATATTCTTGTTTTTGACTTGAGACCAGCACAAATATGAGTTCTGGGTTTGCGGACCAAAAGGCACACTGCCCACCTCAAGCTATCGGTGTGGAAGCCTGAAGTGTCCTTCAAGCGAGCATTGTCTGTGAATTAGGTGCCAATTCACAGGTGCTCGCACGGGAGACCCTCTTTCCCCACTATCACACACACACACACACGCACGCACGCACACACACACACACACACACACACACACACACACACACACACACACACACACACACACACACACACACACACACACTGGGAATGCCACGTCGGCAGTCAAACACCAAACGTTCAAACACGTAAACATGAGATGAAATGTTGCAAGTTAGCACTGAACCGTGCAAAGTCAGTGGCCTTAAGGGCGATTGTTAGGGGTGAGCCCTCCAGCTGCCCGCGACGGGACCCAGGAGCAGCTCTCAGGCAGGTACGTTTCACGAAAAGTATGTGGGGTCTTCGTTGGCAGCCGCCCACATACTCTTCCGGCTGCCCCCTGCCGGCATGCACGAATTGCACGGATTTGACAAATCGGGGTACATACACGAACGTAGCTGAAAGCTTCTTGGTCTGGGGCAACCGCCGCAAACCTCTGTGCGTCAGGCGAATGCGTCCACTGATGTCCGCTGTGAACCGATAGGTCAGTAACGCCGTTCACGACAAACGTAGCTGAAAGCCACCTGGTCTGGGGCAACCGCCGCAAACCCGTTCACTGCTGGCGTGCATGAATTCCACGGATTTTGACAAACCTGGTTCTGCAGGTGGTTTGTACTGCGGATGCCACAGTGGGCAGATCGGGCTCTTCGAATTTGGGCGAGGGCTGATCGAATTTCAGCGAGGGTTCATCTCGAGAACGGGTTGTTAAAACATTTGGTCCAGCACGGCAATGTTTGCGGAGGCGGCGTCTCGAATTAGGCTGAGCTGCTGGCAGAGTTGCAGCAAACCCGTCTCAGATGTATTAACTTGGCGGTCAGGGGGGGGGAGGGGGGGGGCGGACGGCGGGGGAAGTGGATTACTCAAAACATGAGCCTAAATGGCCGAAGAATCAAGAAGTCACAGAACAATGAACAATGAGCGACGTGCAGTAAGTGAGAAATCTATTTTGACCAGCGTCGCAGGGTTGACCTAAAAAGTAGACCGACGAGAGGTCGCAGCCTGTAACTCGCGAAGGGTGAAACCATGGGATTGGTAAAAATCCTGCAACACAGCAATGTCCGTGGTAATGAAGGACCGAGGGAAAGTATACTTGCGAATCAGCGCAACACGAGATAGATAACCGGAAAATCTGTTGGCTCGTGTAGCCGTGCTATATGGGTGACGAACCTGCCATTTGGCATGCGGCATGATGAATCTGACCTGTCGAAGACGATGGAGTATGCGGAAACCCAAATAGTGATCATCGTTCACGGGCTCGATCAAAACAGGAGGTATGTAAAAAGTGTCCCGGAATAGAAATTGGAAAGGGGGCGAGTTGGCAACGTCGGCGTGAATCAATAGCATTCTGTTGTCGACGTATCGGGTAAAACAGAAAAGGTGTCGTTGGCTATGCAAAAACTGCTGAAAAGAATCAGTCCAAATCTGCTCCCGATGGGCAATCGCTAGGGCACACAATGCAGGAGAAAGCTGATTGCCAATTGTGGCTCCTCTAGTCTGCCGATAAACCTGTCCCAGGGTGAGGAAAATGCTAGCTGTAAAAGCAGTGGAAATGAAAAGGTCGATATCATCAAGGCGAATTGTTCGAAGGAGGCCTTTGCCCCTATACATGCGAAACTGCGAGTGAGTTGTGGACAAGTCAATTGAAAACGTGAGGTCAGGGGGTCCGGAGTGTTGTCTCAAATAGCGTTGCTTGGCTTCGCGCCAGGATGCTAACACTCGGCTTTGTGGAAGAGAATTGAAGAATCCGATGATGTCATCATTGCGTAGAACGATGCGGGCGTCATCCGAGATGGACTCAAAGAAATGACGGATGCTGCTCCAAATGTCCACATTTTGGCCGGGGTCCAATGATGCAGGAAAAGCAATACGTGAAACAGCTTGAACGACGAAAGCACAGGCTTTAAGGGCAGCGGCAAGGGGAGTGTTCCTGTAAGCAACAATAGAACGGCCAATAGCAAAAGATTTCTTGTGCTTGAGCAAGGTATATCCTCGTGGTAGGTCCAAATCCAATCGAAAGGCCCAAGGGTATCGCTGAAGCAAAGAATCGGGAATGAGGGTGTGCAGAAGATCCTGAGCTTTGCTTGGCGGGATAGACACGCGTTCAAAAATCGTGGTCTCAGTGAAAGTGGCCTTCACTGCATTGTAATATAGTAACGGGCAATACAGCATAGTACGAAAAGGTTGATGATCCTGACAATGAATAGTCAAGCCCTGTAGCTGTTGTCGCAAAGATGAAACAGCCTGCCAAGTGATGCAGTCCTCATGTACGGTGTTCAAGTGCAGTGGCCACTGACCTTCCAAGAAGTCGTGGGTGGCAGCATCATCCATGTTTAAACAGTGCTTGTCAGCCCAGCGGGCGACATCTTTGCGGAATTCTTCTGAATATGTGCGCTTGGAGGGTAAAATTTGCGAGGCTGCGCTGTACTGAAGTATGGCTTTAAGCTGCGGAGATATCGACAAGAACTCGGCTGGGGAAGCAATGTGCCCATTATGCATTTCCAAATGGGGGTGTCTAGGCAAGAATGATTTGCAGGGGCACGAAGGGACTCTCCCTGGGTTCAAGGAGAATTCACGCATGGTCTCCTGGAAATTGAACAGTCGTTCGTGTAACGAGACGTGAGCCCGAAACAATATGGACCGGGAAGGAACATGAAGTGGGAGGAGTCGGTGTTCACTCTTGCGAATTATTTGCAGCAAAAATTGGCGTACATTGTATTGAAATTCAGGATGCGACAGGGGGCAAGTGCGAAAAGGGCTGTTAGTACCCGGCAAAGCAAGATTCTTGACCCGAAAGATCTTGGCAATGTGCGACTTGACTCTGCTGCGCCAGGGTTGTTCGAGGTTGTTACTCAAACGGAGTAGGGCATACAAGTGAAGTTGATGAACACTGTGTCGGCGAAGAAAAGCCTGGGCTCGAAAACTTGTCAAGTTGTCACCTGCGAGCATCAAAAGGGTCTGCCACAAAGACTGAACGGAGTCACTGAAGGAAGTAAGGAGGGAGAAAGGGCAATGAACAGCAGAAAGTCGTCGGCGAATCTTCTTGTGCAATCGGGAACTGGCTATAGACTGGTGATGTCGAGTCGGTAGTCGTTGATGTTTGATCCCTGAAGCCCGGAGTTGAATACGATTGCAAAAAGGGTAATTCAGGGGTGGCTGCCATCGGCTGATGAGATTAAGTTCCAACAGGCGTACCTCGTGTTCTGCATCGGCAGTCACCACTGGCAACAAAACGAAATCAAAAAATGAGGACGTGCGGACCCAATAGTGCAAAGCCAGCTCGGCTTTGACAAGCTTATGCTGCTGTAACTGATGGAGTTTGCGTAAACGAGAGTGAAACCGACCAAAAACAGTCTTCCGGGTACTGCCGATGTAGAAGAGCCGGGCCTTCTTGGCAAATCTGTGAGGTTGTCGTGTATCCATTGCCAACATCAGATATACAGCATAGGGGGAGTCCATCAAGCTCCAAGAAAGGGATTGCCATGAGTAGTCAAAGCATGTTAATCGACGTCTCCACTGGGTAATGGCAGCGGAGTTAGGGGCCCAGTGAAACAATATAAGCCAAGCAAGCTTGGCTCGGATAAGCAAAAGAGCATTTGAAACATGTATGGGCATATACTTGGGTAAATACTGCAGCGTAATGGTAGAAAAACGGAAAATAAGGTCAATGAGGTTGGCGTACTGTCGCATCATTTTGGCCGGTTGATGACCTCTGCTGATCCATTCGTAAAGCCATTGGATAATGAGAAATAAGAGTCTGAAAACATCCTCGAGGTCGGCAAAGAAGGTGTTGATGGGAATCGGAATAGGTTGTGAAACACGCAAGTCTTCGGGAGCTAGTTTGGAAATCTGTGTGAAAATGTCGGTCAGCATGTCGGAGTGTGTGTCGAATATGCGCAGGGGATCCATCGCGGTCTGTACACGAAGAGGGCGACGAACCTGTGAGCAACCATGGCTAAGCACCGTGTGAGAAACCATGTTGCGCGTGCAACTCAAAGAGTGCGAACAACAAAAGTGCAAATGAACAAAACGGTTCAAGGCTCGCACTGTTTTCGTCCATCCAGAAGTCAACATCTAGGGAGAAAAGCAAAATAACCAAAGGCATGTTGGCGCTCATCACTGCAGAACCCGATGGTTCGCGTCAAGCGAAGGTTAGAGCGTATGCCACCAAAATGCAGCGATACAGCTCATGATCCTTCATGTTCACTGCACGGGATACCGGCAATCCGAATTCCGCGGTGCGGTCTTTGAGGTTTGACCTCTGTTCCGGGCTTAAATCCTTGGCGGAATCGGCAGAGCAGGTCATGGCATCTTTGAACGCCGAGGCGACACCATCCGGAAGGCGTAGGTTCTTAAGCCACTTGGTGACGACCGCGGGGGTGTGACCATTGGGGGCCGACTGGTGCAATGTGCGGTTTGCCACAACATAGTCCATGTGGAACGGACGGTGGGAGTCAAAACCATCAAGGTCGGAGACAACCGCCGCAGGGGCACCCTCAACAGTTCTACGCTTCTTGCTGGGGGGGGCCGCCACAGGTAATGAGTTGGGCGCATCCTTACCGGCTTCAGTAGAAGCAATCTGCATTTCCAACTTCTTGATGGTTTCCTGGGCCTTGATGAGATCAGTGGTCACTTGACTGCGTAGGGGGGCGACCAATTCTTTGGCAACGAAGGCCAACAGCTCGGC